GGCGGGGACGCAGGGCACCAACGTGCCGGGAGCGGGGCTTTGGCCGCCTCGGGCCGGCGCACCCCGCTCCTGCCCGGCGGAGGGAGAGAGGGAGGGGCCTCGCCCTGCCCCACGGGGAAACGTGTCTTTCCGCCTCAGGGAGTCGGTTTATTCTTTTTTGCTTCACCTGGGAACAAGGCTCTGCCTCCACAGGCTGGTTCAGCTCTTGCAATTTTAAATAAAAATGAGTGTGAAGGAAGGTGGAGTTTTGAAATGAAGAACAGAGACTCGGGAGAAGCACAGAGGAAGTTTAATGCCATCCACTCTGAACAAGAGCTAAGGTTTAGCTTCAATCAGAGCTGGACCCAGACTAAAATTCAAGGACTTCTCCCCCTTCTAGGCACACACCAGCTACATCAAGTCTGATGCAATTCCCATACCGCTTTCTCCTTGCAGCAGGCAGTATCGTTATGCACAGCTTACCACACAAATTTCTTCTACCTCTGGTTAACTCTCTGAAACCCAGTTTCTCCACATTCTTACACCTGGAGAACAGAGCACTGCTGCACAGAGGCCTGAACAGTACCAAAAACATTTCTGCAAAAAGGGCTTTTGGTATTTACAGTTAAGCTTGTTTTAGCCATGAAGAACAAACACTATGTACAAACAAACTCCATGCACATTTAACATACGCAACAGTACATATGAAGTTGACAGCTGTACTCAGTATGATAATAAATAGAATTAAAACATAAGAGCCGACAGTAGATACAAAAGAGTAAAGTGGGTATTTTAAAAAGTGTTTTGGACTTGATATTGAAACACCTTGATTAAAAAAAAAACAACAAAAAGAAGAAAAAATACTCTCATTTTTCCTTGTCAGGCTGCAGCCTCAAAAAAAGCAATTAGTCCATCTTGATCACAGCCGTCCAGAATTTCCAGAAGAAGAGGAACTTTAGTTTTCACATTGGTGCCTTTAAATTTAAATTTATCTATGAAGAGATCCGTGATCATGCCTGCAAAGGTAAAATCCCAGGACTTATTATTTGCCTTGTTGTCATCATGAGGTATCTCTCCCTTTAACTTGTTATTATGTACCAACTATTCTAGTTAATTCTGGGTTTAGAAACAAGACTCTTTAAACTTCACGTTATAAATAATTATTTACTTTTAAACAAACCCAAAATGCTGTTACAACAGCCCAGATTCCAGCTTCATTCCAAAGTGTGTATTTCTGCCTTAGAATTACCCACATCTGAAACACTAGAGCAAGAGAAACTACCACAGGACTCTGCTTATGCTATACATTATATACATTATATATATATATATATATATATATGTAGGTTTGTGAAAGCTGGTGTCTGGCAGACTCTCTGAGCTGAAAGCTGTACAGGGAACAACAGAGAAGGTTACAGAATTTCATTCACTAAATTACATGATCTATGAGTCTCCCTTCCCACTCCATGGGCATTTTTCTGTTTTCTGATGTTTTGTAACAATCTAGTCACTCATTCAACCTGTATATATTGTTAAACACCATCCTGAATTTGAATATGATCCTTGATCCCGTCCATAAAGACAGGGATCATCTGAATATAAGAAGCTGTCTATTAAACAAAAAGTAGAAAAGTCACTTACAAATAATCCTGGTATTTTCATTCTCAGTGATATGCTTTGTGATGCCAAATCAACTTTAGAAATTCTCAGGTGCACAGTTGAGAACCTTTAGAGAGTTACTCAAAGTTTGTAGTGGCATACAAACCAACCGTTTTCCATATGTGCCAGGTTTTACTGCCTCACCTTGAACTTCTGTTTTCTACGATCAAAATCACTACGTAAATATGCAGCCTTGGCTGTATGACCAAACAGACAGACATACTTACATACCTATTGTGGTCCTGACACTACCCAAGCATACCCACTTATCAAATCACTTCAGCTCATACTGCCTTCACAACTATTTCAGTCACATCCAGCATGCTCTCTGGAGATTAAGTTGCATTTAAGTAAGAAGTTGAATTGATCAACAAACCATAAAGTCTCTCAAGATGCGCGGGTTGTCTCTTGTATTCCTCAAGCAGCTGATCTGCCTCTTCCAAAATGCTGCGGTATTTTGGTAACAGGAAGTCCACATTGCCTTCATGAACTTGTAATTCCTCAAAGACATTTTTAAATAATCAGAATTAAGAGTAGTGAAGCATCATAAGACCATAAAAGTAAGAAGAAATTAAGTTTGGATCTGACAGAAGGAAGTACTTCAGAGACAAGACAATCCCCTTCTAAACTAGAAAGAGTTATTTTCAAAGAAGTGCCTCATTTTCTGGTCTTCTAATGAAATGCCAGATTTTACTTGTCACTTCATAGACCAGATTCTCAAAATCCTGTGTGTTACAGCTTCCAGCCCTGAATATTGTCAGAGCAGGATCAAGCCACAGTCCAGCCCCCATAGAATCAAGCCAAATGAAGGCTCACAGCCTTCACATCTTCATTTTTAGAATAAGAAAATTCCTAGAAAGTGTAGTTCATGCTAAAGTCTGAAAGTAAAAGTAAACTCTGAAAGTATCACTCAATTTGCGACAGCAAAAAGTTTTAAAGACCTCTTCTGAAATGCCTCAGTCTACTGTCAGACCAATTTAAGGTTGATAGTATAGATCTTTTTTAACCCCCACAGAGACTCTTCTTTTCTAGACTAAAGGTAATTGTGCTATGCATTGTGAGTCTGCTGGGATAACAGCTTTCATCAATCATCCCATTATTTTACTGCCTATGAATAAGTTATCAAAAAAATGAGTGACAAAAAATTCATCAACAAAAGATTTGCTGCCTAAAAAAAAGCCTAAAACAAGCAAGATGTGCAACATCATTATTATTGCACAAATATTACAAGCATTAAGAATAAATTGTCTATTATACTCTACCTCCCCAGTTTGCCAAATCAAGCCTAAGTAAAATAATTTTGGTAACAATAAAAGATACACACTATTCTCATTGGTAATCAGTTTTTTCACTAACTAAAGAGTTCTGACAACTAGTATTTGACTCCTCCAAAGGACAAGAAATAATCAGTTACCTATTTTCATATATTCCCCTCACCCTCAAAAAAAAAATACTAAAAGAGAAGATAGCAAGTTTTGGACAGGAAAATCCTGGCTATTGGAAAATGTCCAAGAACTGAGGCAAGCTGCCTAACTGGTAGCTCCCAGTCTAACTGCTGAGGAGTATTAAGCAAAAGATTAAAAAAGCAGGTAATTCAAAAATTATGACACGCTGGGATGAAGTTCCAAAGCAAGGAAGTCGCACCTGGCCTGGATGATCATCCCCAGATCTAAACAACTTTTAAAGGTTAGTGGAAAGAGACAAAGAAGGAACTGGAAAATAACAGCAGGCAAAAAGAAAACGTTAGACGATAAAGCTGGCTGCCACCTTCCATCTGATTTAAGCATCCTCAACAACATTCAGTAATCCTACATGTCATTCACTAGTTATATAGCACGAATGGGAATTTTCCTTGAAAAGAAGTCTGTTCTCCTAGGTAATTAAAATACACATCCTGGGAACAGGAACAGAACAGATACCAGTATGACACACATCTGACTTGAGCCCTACAACCTGATATCTGACAATATAATCCCCCCCAAACCCTTCCATGGAGTTCAGACTTACTCTCAAAGCATCTATTAAGTGAACCTTCTTGGCCAACAGCTGCTGATACTCTAATTTAGGGTGGATAAGCTTCAATGTGTGCCTCACAGATTCTTCATTTATGTCTAGCAGGGAGTCAAAAAGAAATCCAACAAGCAAGTGAATAGCACATATTCTGTTTGTAAGAATATAAAATGAAGTCAAGGACAACAAAATAGAGAAGAAAGTTTTACCATATGATATGTTGAGATTAATCTTCCTTTTAGTAGCTTCTTTGGAAAGCACATCTTTTAGGATGGATATTGTAGAAATGTTGTCAGACTTAAAACATCCCTCACCTTTTCTGTAAAGCAAGAAAAAATTCAAATGAACAAACCTGAACACACAGGCCTGCATTAGATTTGTCCCTATGTTAAAATAGAAGGCTGTATATTAATGCCCAAATCAAAGAGAGAAACCTCTATAAAGGTCATAACGACTCTCTATATATCAGGTGGCTGTATACACACCTATGATATTCCTGCCTTCCCAGTGTAATCTTGACAGAGAACAGTTTGTTTCAGTAAATAAGACAACGCAGTAGACACAAGTCTCAGCTATACAAAGCAGTTATCTTTACTGT